AGTTCAGTTACCTGTTGGAAGTTTCATCATAGGACCTTTTTGAGATCTTGGCAAATCTTGGTTTCAGCTAGGATTTTCTAGATGCCCCCACAAAGAAATAAGTAGCAAAAGCACAGATATCAGCTCACACTTAAGAAGTGACTTGGCATTCTAAAGTCACCTGGGAAAAGGTTAATACATGAAAAAGTCAATTCACTCAAGATGGGCAAATATCAACAAAGATTGCTAAATTTCTCTTGGAATTTTTTTTTTAATCTTTTTAAATAGGAGATTATTTTCATCTCTCCAATTAAAATATTTGATTTGTTCTTCAGGATTAAAAAAGCAGCTGTCCTAATGTTCATTCAACTTTAGGATTAAAAAAAAGGTTTCATGAATATGAAATGCTAGTTACACAAATATGAAATGGATCTGTGATGAAGATACTGGGTACATGATATAACAGACTCCCAAAGGCATTTCACCTGGAACCTTAGCTTTCCTTCTAGAACATTAGCAAACAGTTCAAAATTAATATAGTACACCATGCAATTTGCTATATCACTACACTAGCCTGAAATATATATTTTTTTCCTTATTATATAAAACCTAATAGAAGCTCTGGTAGTGTAGTGCCTAAGGCACTTGACTGCTAAACAGAAGGCTGGTGGTTCAAACCCACCAGCCACTCCTCAGAAGGAAGGTTGGGCAATCTACTTCCATAGTGATACTGCCTCGGAAACCCAAGGAGGGGTTGCTATGAGTCGGGTCTGACTCGAGGGCACACAACAACAACAGCATAAAACCTAATTAGTTAAAGGGAAATTCAAATGAAACTTATATTTAGGGGATTTAGAAGCATTAAAGCAAAGGGAGAAAAACAAACAAACACTTCAGCTCTCTGGATAGCATGAACATGATTACTAATAACCCTTGGGTGAGAAAATGATTAACCTTGTGATTTTCCTCACGATCCAGGTTTCTAAAGTAAATTGATACTGAATAAAAATATTTGGATGCTGTATGGAAAACATCTTTTACAAGGACTCCAACTGGCATGAACTGTTTTCAAGTATGAAAACATCTCTGGGCTTTCTCAACAGGCTGATGGATCCCTGCAGGTAGCACTTCCCCTGTTTATTAGTTCTGCCAATTAAATCAAATTAGAGATGAATTTTTAACTCTGTGATGAAGGCAATGTTCATTAGAAGAGAACACAGGGAAAAGGAACTTTTCCCTTAAGTGAACTATTGCTTCAAATTGAATAATTTCAGGGGCTTGGGAGGGGCAACCAAACACCTTCATTAATAATTCTATGTGTGTCATACTATCATGTCAGTCATTTGAAAGTGATTTAAGGAAAAACATATGGCTAGATCCACAAAATGCTTATATCTGTCTTTCCTTTTGTGGCTATTCTAAGAAATAGTTCTATTTATTTAAAATTTTCAAAATTTTGGAAAAGATCTCTCTAGATGTAATCTTTTATTTCAGTTGCTCGCCCGCCTCTATCTCTGACTCATCTGTTACCTGTTTTGTTAAGAGGTGATAATCACCCCCACAAAGCTATGTGCACATCAGGCCAATCCTTGCTGGTTGAATTATGCTTTTTATAATATGCTGTTTAACATAATTAGTGAAGGTACTTGCCTTTCAGGACTAAGAATCAGATAATAGAAGTTAGAAGGCAATGATTAGTTTATCACTTTAACAAAAACACTGAAACTATCAATTTGGGTCATCAGCATCAACAAGTGTTTACTTAGATAAAACTGGGAATGTTTACTTAAAAATGCATGATGCATTTCATCAAAAAAAAAATGAAAGCTACCACCTCAGGTGAAGTAAACACAGATCATAAAGCTCAAATGGCCACAGATCAATTTTGGGATTCATTAATTGCTGACAATATCGCAAGTACTTTTTTCAGCCATGGCCAAAGCACATAAAAATACCCAAGTTTTAAACCAAGTACCATTTGGATGACTGGGAGACCTATTTCCTAATAGATAGACAACAGCAGGTACAAATGACCTTAATGGGAAATTTGTTTCAAAAATGTTTTTAGCAGATGATCGGAAAGGATGACCATTCTGTCCATGCATTTGAACCTTAATGCAGGCATTGACAATCTAAGATCTATGCTGAAATCTTTTAGGGCTCTAAGACCTACAGTCATTTCTGCATACAGCATATATATGTGAATTTATGGCTACATACATCAATAATGGGAGCTCTGGTAGCATAGTGGCTAAGGCACTTGACTGCTAACCAGAAGGCTGGCAGTTCAAACCCACCAGCCACTCCTC